GGACGGCTAGCGCAGATAGCCCTCGTGTAGCTTTGCGCGAAATTCAAAAACAACAAATAAGCATTATTATTTTGAAGAAACTTGATGCGAAATTATATCATATAAAATCATAAAGCAAGTGATTATTTTTAATCATTTTATAAAACTGAAGCATGAAGTTAAGAGTTATGGTGCGATTATAAAGTTAAATTTGTTTTCTAGTATTTTAAGTAATACTTTTTTATGAAGTTATATTACAGTTTTGTGCAATACTAGGATAAATAATAGATAATGTTTGTATCAGAATTAAAAGCTCGCTCATAATAAAAATGAAAAGGTTTTTCCTTAGCATTTAAATGAGTTAAAGAAATGTCTAATATTCCAGATGGTATGATGATTTGTTTTCTTGACTAATGGAACAACAACCATTTGAAATAGATATTATTGATTGTTTGAATAGCTGTGCTAACAGTTACAAAACATTTCTTTATCATTTTGATATTAATAAGTAAATGTTCTCGCAGCTAAACGAAAAGTCTAGAGAAAATGTAATTATGATTTGTAACTTTTGTGACCAACACCACAGGAAGAAAACTATGTAAAATAAAAGGTTTATGAAATATGAATTCTTGGTGATATATGATGTAAGTAGAAACGATCCAAAGATGATGCAGTATGCACAGTAATTACCTCATAACATAAGATTTTTCGTTTGTTTGTTTTAGAGCATAGCCACAGTGGTCTATCTGCTATGTCCACCATGGGGAATTAAACCCCAGATTTTAGCATTGCAAGAATGAATTTTGTTGAGTTGAATAAAGTTTGGGGTTTCAAGGTTTAAAATTAACAAACTTTTAAGCTCCAAATAAGAAAAAACCAAAAAAAACTTTCAAATATTTTTAATAATATCCATCAGAATTCAGGAAGAGCATTGCAAAGGGCAAATGTAAGAGTCACAATGTCAATGCTATGAGTCTGGAATGCATATTTAAAGAATTTGATATAATTTATTTTATTGGTGCAAATTGTTAGTATGACTCATTCAGTAATTTGAGTCCAGCTGCACTGATTACCAGTTAGTACATTGGTACAGGTACCATGACAAGATTAACATTGCAGCAGTCAAGTAAATCTCAAGATTTAAATAAGAGACACTCTGCACAAGAAAAAGGGAGCTTCTGCTTTAAACTTGAGGTGTTCAACATTAGAATATACTCTGTTCATATACTATTATATATAAACAAATTATAGCAAATTTCCCTCCATCCACTGACAACCAGTCAAAAGAGGGTCGATATCATGAACCTGGGATGGTTTTGGCCACTAACCTATACAGGTGTAGATGCTTTTGGTGTTCATCATAGTTTATTCTGGATTGAGTGCTATTTATCGTATTCTGTAAAGACACATAGATATGAAGTTGAGTTTGGTGGACACTGATGCTGCCATGATTTCATTTGAACCTTGGAATTAGTCATGACTCTGGTTGAAGCTTTCACTCCATTTATATAACAATGATATGATCCTTAATAATGGATATAGGTTTGAGGTCAGCATAAAAGTGTAAATCTATATTGCTATCATCACTGCTTCTCATAGAACAAACATTCTCTCTTACTGAGGATTGAGAAATGGTAGCAGCATCTTAGTAATTGACCTGCTGCCAAAGTTAACAACCAACATGACTGCTGATACAATTAAGCTGCATCGCAGTAAAATATAGCAACATCTATCATTAAGAACTAAGAATCATTGGAGAGGATGAGTCTTTGTTGACGAGGGAATGGCATACCTCCATATATACAAATGAATTACCGTGGTGTTGCATGGAGTCAGTCTAGTGGATTGTCACAACCTGCTCTGGTGGGAAATCAATACATCTCTCTAGTAATGATGATAAGTGGAAATATAGTATACCAATGCTCTATGTTGTCTTGAAACAGGTGAAGTAGTAATGTGTGTTGATGTCTTTCTGTTGCCAAAACAGAAGAATGCATTGACATGCTAGAAGTTACACATTAGTTAGACTTGCTATAAGGTTATTGGTAAGATGAACTGAACTATGAAAGTAGGTCTAAACAATTGAGATATTATGCACACATTTTATACCATGACCATTTGGTCTGTATAATGTATCTGCCCTGTGTGAGAATTTAGTGGAGACTGCTCTAAGAGGGTTACAATAGATGAAAAATGTCATCTATGCAGATAGCATACTGGTATTTGGCTGAACATGTATCAATCTTCTGCCTAGAATTTGTGGAAGGTGTTTGAGCAGGTAAAAGAGACAACAGGCTTGAAATAATGCCAGTAATATGTGTATTTATTCAGACACATGTGAAGTTACTCTGTCAAGCAGTAAGAAAGGGGCAGAATATTGATAGTTTAAACAGTGTAACAAATTTGTTATTATATATTTATTTTAATATCGACATTGTTTAGATTAAGATTGTATTTTAAAATATGCATAGCTTGTAGTATTGCGAAACTTCTGCCTATTCTCTAAAGTTGTGGAAGATTCTCGAGAGTAAGAATCAACAATATATGTGTGTACCTAAACACTAAAATTTGTATTGTTACATAAAACTGAAATTTCTAGAAAGCCTCTTCATACGCCTATAAATATAATCAAAGCACCACACCAAAGAGAGTATTTATTACTAGTTTACTATAGTCAGTATGCTATAAACTTTGGAAACTATAACTGTGATTATTATAACCCTTATCAATTGGAAAACTTCAGATATTTGACCAGGAACCTTTACAAAGTTCAAACATTACAAATTATTTAACTTCTGTGGATTCTTATTGGACATTAGTATTTTTATGAAAACATTAACTAATGTCATCGGTGGAAAAATCAGCACGTGATCAGTAAAGGAGAAAGCTAGCTAGCTTCCCGTTAAGCAAATCGTACCTACATCAACTCGTAATCAACTCACTCATCGT